ATAGTTGATATCTATACTTAGTAATGATTGCTGGCGGCATCATGTTATGTTTTCTCGTCGAATTTCGAAATTATATCAATATGCGTGACGTCAATTCAAAATTCGGGTTAGCTGATTAGTTTGTAAAAGTCAGCTGTAATACCGTTTTCATTATCATCGCCTGTTGTATTATACCGCGATCTCTTATCCACTGTGTAATGGATGAACAAATAAGCAATTCCTCGTCACCACCAAACTCTATGTCTATTCCACTCGATACAACTGCTACGTGATATTCTAGCTCGCATGAATATCGTTCAACATTGAGGCCTGTCGCAATAGAGAGCAAGAACGCATAATGGTATTACAGGCTTGAGCCCCGTCCTGCAGGCGGCGCAGTTTTTGCCACCTCCTTTTTGGCGTTCAGATATTAGTCACTCAGCCGCTGACCTATACTACTCGTATTTAGCGATACTGTGTATCAATATCATTTTCTGGAATGGTCACGTTCAAATAACAGCTTGCAGATAATGACTGGCAAGGGAACCTACTGAATAGTGTTGCAATAGTATGGCAAAACCCTGATACAAGTCGTCATTCCGCCCCCTTAAATTGTCTCCAAAAAGAAAATGGGTATCTCTTGAAGTATATATTATATTAGCGATACGGCTTTTGAGAAGTGAAATAACTTTATATGCAACCGGTTCAAACACAGCACCTATCATCCCCGGTACCCGACCAATGGATCAGGAATAATTTAAGACAAATAGTTTTTCGTCTCTACAACGCATGGGTCAATTCATCATCGGTAATTTGGTCAACTTCAAATAGCAGCTGCTTTGCGGATCACGGAAGTGTATCCTTTTGTGTACCCGCCTGCAAATTTATATATATAACTTGCCCATTATGTGAGCTGCAGCAGTATCAATTGTAGCTTCAACATCGACAGGTAATTTTAGGTCCGAATGAGATCTATCTGTGGAAAAGTATCTGCGCAACTTAGCAACTGAAGAAGCCTGTTTTTTTTTTTCTATGCTATTGCAGTGGCCAACTGCGACAATAACGACTCATTCACGAATGGCATACGGCTACGGTAGAAGGCTGTGACAGCAGCAGGATCAGCAAATGTAAAGAAGTTGCAAAAAACAGAACGGTTGGATCCATGTGATAGTACGTGGTATTTGTGAGTGCAATTAAAATCACAATAAAAAAAAAAACTGTGTGCGAGCTGATTGATGCTGCTGCTTTTCTGAATTAAGTCCCCACTGGGTGTTCCCAGTGAGTGCATTCAAGCACACATTCTTCGTTTTTTGACAAATCCAACGATGTGCTTGTTGGTGAGGTTGTCTATATGGATGACTGTCTGCTTGTACGTGCCATTCTATGGCACCTTAGGGTGAGTAACGGAGTCAATTGACCCTTGCTAGCTGATAACTTTGATCGCACATCATACCTTTTGATAGCACTGAAGTAGCTTCGACTTGAAGTTCAGGACCCGTTGCTAGTCGTTTGGGTCGTTGTGGGTTCGCTTCCTGCTAGGGGCCGTCTGAAGCAGCGGAGCGGGAGACAAGGAAATAGAAGAACTAGACGAGTGCAGCGGCTGCTTGCCTGATGAGTTCTCGATTCATACCGCAGCTCAGCCCTGTCTGGCGTAGTCGTGCATTTCGCCATTCCATGACACGCCACTTGACTGGCTGGCTAAATGGATAGCTTCAAGAACGCAATGGCGATGATTATGGGTAGTTCCTACCGTTATCGCCAGTCTCCGGCGGATACGATAAAGAAGGTCACTTATGGGCCTTCAGCACTTGCATCATCTTGGCTTGCGCTACCCTGGCCTTGCAACTGCAACGTGTCGCGCTACGATATAGCTAGGTAGACTGAACAAAATCTGGTGTCTAAACAGAGCCATGCGTGTGAGACTGTAAAAGCGCACTTGAAGTTACTCCGTCTCTTCCTTGAGGCTTTTTCCCTTCTTCCCACAGGCTATCACAATATTCAATGGTACTTAAATGCTAGGACCCTCGGCTCGACCAAATGTAGCCATGCATTCTACTACTTCTGCCAGTAATAGAAGTTCGGCTTCTCCTCTGTCCGGTGTTGTGCTTCAGGCCGAGCATCCACATAACGATAGTGTCCTATGCCGCCATCGGTCCTAAATCGCGCGACCCTGCCGCTTACTGCTGTTGCCACCAGGGTTACCGTCGTTCAACTTGAAAAGACGATGCACTCTCGATATATTGGTTTCGTTCGTTTGCAAATAGGCAGAGCGTACGGCAATGTCGGAAGGCGGTCGAACAAGTCTTTTTCCTTTTTTGTGTCATTTGCCTTCTTCGGCGCAGAGTACCTCACTGCACCTCGCCTTCTGTTTCCTCTTATGTTCACTTCCCGTTAAACGTACGCAACGACGATTTGACCAAGCATCGTAATGGCAAAGATCGGCGAAGCACAGCGGTTCAAGCATTCGTGTTTTGGCGTTTTGGTATACCTTCGCAGACTTTTGCTTTAAGAAGCGAAAAGAGTGGGACGCCAGTTAACCGGCGTCATGCCGAACTGCATGCCGGCTAAAGCCAAGCGGTGCATATCGGATGTATTGTACAGCCTGGAAACGCTGACGTGCGCCAATGCCATTACAATAATAGTTAATAGTAAAAGTTCAATTACCATCCCTATTTCAATTTTAACGTAGAGGCTTCAGATAGAGATAGCACCGCTTTACAGGTGGTACTACGATCTGTTGCGTACATAATAATGCGTCTAAGGTTGGCCCAACGGTGATGAGTAACTCAGCTTCTCACAACCACAATAATTTTGGTAATAATCAAAATTATAGACGTCTAACTAATTTATAGAAATAAATCTTTAAGCTATCTTTACTTGGCGTCACGCATGCAATAGACAATATTGTCCACTAAAGGCGCAAACAAATCAAACCTAGAAAAGCATTCCTAAGGGTATTAGCCGACGTAAGGGATATAACCTTGCGAAATGTTCATCACAGAGGGACGCTTTAAACGTGGGTTAGTGTACATATATGTGTAGACCAACCATCATGCCGCAAGAATTACTAGCGGAAGTTTAGTTAAGTCCGCAAAATGTCCGCGAGCCTAAAAGGCCGTTCTGTCGTCTTTACGTCTGTTGTCCCATAATAAATTTAACCCAAACACATTAGCATTCTTATGCAAAAAAAAAGTCTCGTTTAAGCTCGGCCTAAGACTCTGATTAGCTTCCCTAAGCCAAAATCTAGGCTAGGTTCAGCCATACGCAACTAACCACATTTAAATGAGTTAAATCAACTAACTCGTTTACGTTTCTGCTGTCTCGGATAAGGACAGCAATCTAACAAAAGGCTCTGCCTTAAAAAACATCACGTTTTTATTCAAAAGTGTTGCAAATCTATGCCTATATCGACAATGACAGAATACAAGTCGCTAACTGAAAAGACTCCCACCCAGACTTCATTGTCAGATTTCATTGCAACGTCTGAACGAACAAGAGAAAGGCCGCTGCTGTTATTGCTACTCGTCCTTTTTGTGGTCGAAATCAAAAATTTACCAAAAGCCTTCTGCTGCTGGCTAGCGATTTCAGCCTTGAACAGCAATTGCTGCCAGCAACTCTGACTTATAGTTTTCAACGCCAGACTTACCCAACGAACTTTGACAGGCTAGTGTTTGGCGGGAATATGGAACTCGCGTCTCTGTATCATTGCCACCACATCGAAACGTTAGCACAGTTGTGCACATGCAGATAGACACATCCGCGCACAGTCACATCCGACTTCCCAATCCCTAGCGAACTTCTATTCTTTGATAGTGGATCGCTATTGTTCGCGGTCTAAGCCGACCAAACGGATGTCGAGGCGGTCAAGGACCGGGGACGGTGAGGGGCTGACAAAAAAAAAGGAGGATCGACGGAGACACTGCGAGGTACGCAGAAACACTATTATATCGAAACCAAAGAAAAGGGGGAGTCAGAAATAAATAGATAAGACTTGGCTCTCGCTGGCCCTCTGTGAAACAGGGACACCCACTCCTGTCTTAGAATAGTTTTAACTGCACTGGAGTGCGTTGGATTAAGCTGTAAAAGCAGCAAAAGCAATAGAAGTTGTTAAGATGAGAAACAGCTTCCGAGTCCGCGGCTGCTTCAGCGTGCGACCAGAGTGGTTAAAACTGAACCGCAGTTGCTGTCTTCTTCGATGGGCATAACCACTGAACAGAGATCAGATCTGAGGCAGGCCACCAAAAGCAATTCCAACAAAAATGCGGCTTCGATGACAGTCACCGGGAGGAAACGAAGGAGAAAAAAGTTTGCCAGATAGTGGAAGAGCGCACCACTTCTAAAAAATCGATCTGCAACGCACATAGGCACAGATTAAGCACAAACACACCCTTCCCTTTATAAGAAGGAGTAGACTAAGTCCACTCAATTGCTGTCTGTATATGCCACTGCTTCGCAAGGATGCGGTGAATAAAGAGCTGCGCGAATGGTAGATACCTGGAATAAGTATTCATTGAAATCCGGTTCTATTCCCACTGGCTGAACGGTGTCTGATAGGATCACTCGCAGAGCGGAATGCGGTATTTAGAGACAAAGTAAAGCGAGTATGAGAAAATGGTAGAACTAAGCTAAAACCAGATGCCCGGTAGTAAACAGAAGACGTCAGGGTAGCCCGCCACAGTAGCAATAAAATCCTTGGAGTTGACGCTTGGAATTGACAAACGAGCACAGATGAAGTGAGTTCAATTGAGTTTCTTGATACAAGTCAGCGGAATTGTATCGGATACGAGAACCCAGGAAGAACTCCGCACGACGAAATGTTACTGCAGCTTTTTCAAACGTTTATTTATCCAGTATGCGTATTCATAAAACTCTAGCCATATACATTGCTATTGATGTTTCATATTCAGCCACGTGCACAACATCGTTTAATTGTTTACCTACTTTATTACACTACTTACCTAAGTAAAACAACTGTTACTAGTGCTATTTTTTTTTACTGATATTTTAACTTTAAACTTCAGGTATTTGGGATTGGTTGATTATCAGTCCATACGGTCGTTGGATCGACTCGCAGGAGATCAACCGGTATCATCTGACGGTTCGCCACTGTCTCCACAAGTTGACCCGTTGGCCATCCGGCTTTCAGAGCTCTGCAGCGCTGTACCTGGATTAGTCCAGTCACAACTCGATCTCTGTCATCGAAATCCTCACGCGCTGCTGGCCATATCAGAAGGCGCGCGTCGAGGCATTATCGAATGCCAGGAGCAGTTTCGGCATGAACGTTGGAACTGTACGCTTGAGGGAGGCATCAACGTGTTTGACATGACCTTACAAAGAGGTGAGTGCTGGCATAAGGCTGATTAAAAGGACTAAGTTATATTTCCAGTATGTTATATTCACTTCGTTATTTTTTCTTATTTTCTCTAGTAACATTTCTATTAACATATGTGCTATATGTTATTATAGAAATCATGCAAGCAAGTGCCATGTGACTGATTAATTGGACGGAATATTTAGGTATTGTTGCAAGCGTGTTTGTAACAAAATGGCTCCTAGGTGACATTTTTTTTCTAAAGATCTTCAAGCTATTTAGGCATTATGCTTGCTTTTTTCTTCGTATGATCTAACGATAATAATGGGTATGCTGAGCTATTAGCAGTCTGTTATAGCAGCTTTCTTCTCAATAATGGTATTTCCAAATGCAGTCCAAATTCACAAATGAATGGCGGATGTACTAGGTGTCTTACGCACAAATTTACACTACGCATTTTGTCTACTGAATAGCGGTAATGTGATCTATATCTTCGAATAATTTCTGCCGCCGTAAGTGTTGATTCACCCAAGCGAACGATGCTATGTTCTGCTTGTTCCATGGTTTCCAGTTCTACGCCTCACAGCGTACCTAGATTCAAAGTGTTAATGGAATTATCTGGAGTATAACTTTCACGCAACATATCGTATACCAACAGCGAGCTTCCTTTGATGCTGGTTTAGACATAGTTTGTTCTCGTCATCATATTGCAGCCAATCTTAACACCTGCCGTCGGACTACTATATACAAGCAGCACTGGCTCAGATGCGGTTCCTTATTTACAATCAACTGAACCTTCATTTGTTCACATCGGTATACCTCTTTTTCAGCTCTGGTGGTTGCTTTCGTATTGAGTTGCATTGATTTTGCATTGTTGCAGTACACAACTCGCTTATATGCATAACTGTAAGGCTTTAACAACAAATTATAGTATGTTGGACTCTATCAAATAAAGCAAGCAGGTAAAAACGTATCTGGCACATTATGAGGGCCCACATGAGATGGGGAAACAAATTTAATGCAGAATAATCGTAATAAACGAACAATAGGAACGAACGAGACCATCTTTTCACGGATTTACCTTATATTTCAGAATAAGAGTAGACTCGTGACTACCGTGGCATTCTTGTAACTAGATATTAACTTGAGAATATTGTTGTATTTTATTATTTGAGAGGCATAATTTCCTTCCAGAGAGGAATATCGTATTCTTCTATAGGAGCACCATTTTTCACAGTCCCACAGATGCCATGGGACCATAAACGCTAATCCTTATTCTGTATTTTTCCACGAGCGGTCCTATTTCAACGGTCAAACTCAACATTCTAGTAGGTCAAATCTGTACGTATAGTCAAGCCTCGTTTTGCTAAAGCAAAACCTTTTTTAGGCTAGCATGTTTTCCTCGAATAACCAACGAGTTTCCGCTGGGCGACCTACCTGCATTGTGACCGTCGCGAAGCCTCTAGCCCGTCACAGCATTCTCTGAAGAAAACAGGCACACTGGCGCTGCTCATACACAAAAAAATCGCATTCACCCACTACTGACCCAGGGGCCGCAATCGCAACCCCTAACCACCCGCAAAACCTGACAGGGCTCCGTCCAAGGGTGCCGCCGCTGACGCACGCCGAGGACCAAGAACCTCCGCTGTCAGGGAAAATGGAGAGGCAACCAGAACTGGGGGTAATCTGTAGTCATACCTGCCCTACTAGGTAGGATAGGATTCGCACTGCTGGTGCTTACTGAGACCCACCGACAAAGCCAGTCAGTAGTCAGTAACAACCCAGATGTGGGTCTCGAGTGCACGCCAATCTGATTACGGTAGTAGGGCGGCTAAGACTAGTAGGCCTAGTCGCGAAGGATGTGGACTCCTTGTCGAGCTGCGAAGCTCAAGATCACGTAGGGATTAGAATTGTATCTCGTGAAGGAAAGACGGGCTGGTAGGCCAGCAGGAAGCTTCTTTGGGTGAGACCGCCGTTTGTCGGGCGAAGTCCTTTGTATTCGGATAAGATGAGCTGGAGATATCCAAGTCCCTAGCGCTACTGCCTTACCACAACAAACGCAACAGGGAGTCAGTGGCAGCCGGCTCGGCCAGACTCCGGTTAGTTGGAGATTAAGAAGGTTTTCCTCCTGAGACCGTTGGAATCGTCGGCAGGGCCATAGCGGCAGCAGCTGCAGTGGACGATGCCAGATTACGGGGTTTACGAGGTTATGGAATTATACTCCGGTCTTTTGATTGTATTGGGCCAAACGGTTTGAAAATTAAATCTTTTACACAACTCCGCGCACTTTGTGCCTGGGGAAATGAGCAGTGAACCATGACTACAACGGGAAATATTTAAATTTAGTACTTCCGATTGTGTGACTTGTTTTTCGCTTGGTAGATGCATAGCATTTATTATAACTTTTATCTCAATAAATGATATGTGATTGCATGATTTAAAGATAGGCGACACACTTTCTTTGTACATATTTTGTATTTGTATTCACTGTTCATTTGCGCTACACAGCTAAGTAAATCGTATAAGGGAAAGAATAAGGCAATAAGGAACTTTGACGATAAGTATAACGTTGATCAGAAAATTAACCCAAGTACAGTTCTGCATGATTATTTGTCAGACAAACCTGACGCAAAAAACCAAACGCCTTGCAATTTTATGAACTCTAACATCGTCCAAGTCATTTCTAATTAATCACCTTCTCTCGACTGTATCAGTCACATGTTGCACACGTTTTTCTTAGCACAAATGTCAATAGACTACAGCCTATATTGTGCAGCTGTCTCAAGCGGTGACAGGCCTTCGATTCTCCGTTACTGTTTGATGTCGTGTCGCTTTTTAGAAATTGCCCACTCTGTTTTGTTCTCTTTAGCATCCCATCCCATTGCTGCTAGTTAAATAGATAATAAAGTTGATAGAATCAAACTGACCTGCAAGCAACGTTGCGTACGTCTAGCAGTCACTTTAACCCCGACGCTCAAACCGGCGCTAACCACTCCACGCAGGCACGTACACTCTCATGCACAAGCAAGCGCACTTTGTGCATTGGCCGCCTTTACGCCTTCAACTAACTGCTGCGTTCATGTCCTATGGCCAACTCTTTGCTTCGTTTGGATTTGCATCTAAATTAAAATAACCCTATGTAACTAGACGAAAAGGGACAAGAGTCTTTGGTCCCGTTAGGTCACTCATCGGAAGACAACACGGGACAGGAGCAGAATAAATGACCTCCTCGTAACATAAGAGCAGAGCAGGTTTGGAGAGTTGGCTGTGGTCATACTTATCCAGCCGTTTTGCATCTGCTGTTACTGTGTCCTCCATCATAAGTGGTTTCTTTTCTTCCATTACCTTACTAGGTTCTCAGTTAACCGTTTGAGGACGAACACAGCCAACGAGAAGTCGGTTTGCCCCGCAGTCACATGAGCCGTATTTTTTTAACTTCAATAGGTGATAGCAATCAACACGCAATAGTTGCCCAAATATAGGCATCTTGTCGCGACAACACCTCAACGACTTTGATGATTGCGGTCTGTGATTCCTGCAAGATACTAGCCAGAAGGTGTTTTTTGTATATCCATATCTACGGTAGGCTAATACTTATACCTTAAAAAGTGTTTGAGTCGTCTTTTTAGAAAATCGGATTATCTATTATCTAGGTAGTAAATCCTAGTAGTACCTTCAGTAGTTGCAAAGTTTTCTCCGGTATACACACCAAGTGAATGGCATTACGCAAATGCGATTTTCGCAAGTAAATCATGTTGTATGAAAGGGGCTAAGTTAATTGCCCTTATGTGTCGACAGTATGACGACATAAGTAAGTCACTCAGATGGTCCATCGTTAAATGAATCATTTGTCAGCCAAGTGGATGGTCTAGTACTGTATTACGTTTCCAGCGAATAAACTCAATTATACACTTTATCGTAAAATGAATATAGTAAATATCATTTTATAAAAATTCTCTGCGATTTTAACTTAGTCAGTTTTATTTTGAATCGGTACTTTAATAAAGGTAGTTTTTTTTAGGTTTTTTGTTCATTACTTTTCTCCATGTGTATTTCTGTATGCCATTCGAAAGTGCTTTACAAATACGCTGCAATTTCACTATGCAACGAATGGAGTTTTGAGCTACAGTTCAGGCTTTAAGAATACAGGTTCTAGGTAGAAAAAGTGAGTCTTCGGCACTTACTTATTCTACTTCTGTTTTGAGTTTTACGTCCGGTATCGCCATTGCAGACAGTTGGCCAATACGAAACGAACTCTGTCTATCGATGCTCGGGTTCAGACTTAGATCATAACGTGCGTCTAAGATAAACAGGTAAATACGTTATTCCCAAAGCTATCACGGAGACTACTTATTTCCCTTAAGTTATTTTACCGAGGTCAGAGGCTGCCAAAGCTGTCTGGAATATTATATGCCGAATATTGTATATCGTATGCAGTGAAGACTCTACTACTGAGAAATCTGCTCGAAGGGGTTTACTAAATTTAAAGGTTGAATCCCAGACCTGGAAAATGTACCGCAACCTAGTTCGCCATTTGAGGTCAATGAGGACGTCGGATTCACACAACCTGCGCGCAGCCCGGTTGCACCAATTGAACGAGGCTATCCAGCAGAAAACATCCTATTAACGAGAAAAAGCCATTATATCTACGACAATGCCAAGTCGTGTACAGGAAAGATCGTGAAAGCCGTTCTGCAGGAGCCTGACTGGCAGCTTTTTCTGCACCTGCCATATTCTCCAGATCTCGCGCCAGTGGACTACCACTATTTTCACTTATTGGCAAATAAAACTAGTTACCGTGCGTGTGATAATAATGATAGAAACCCGGCTGCACGAGTTCTTCAACATTACATGCAAAAATTTTTGGCTAAAGGGAATACATAATTGTTTAATGAAGAAACGATCTTCACTCACGTGCTACCTTCGGCGAAGAGACATAGCATGCCATGGGACCGTTTGTCTTTGTTGATTTACTAGTTTTTACAGAACGAGACGCAAGATTTTAAACGCAAAAATAAGAAAATTGGGTACGTCGTCGAGTAAAATTGCTAAGCACTATTTGGCTAAGAAAAAATATTTAATTTAGTGTATCTTCTTCCAAGTTTTAAAAACTTTCAATACCTATTGAGCCGTTATAGACAGCACTGGCTATGGTGTAGCAGGAACATAAATTTTAAATAAGCGCTTTGAATTCTACAAAGAATAACAAGTGCCACAATACTCGCACAGGTCAAACGTAAAGGCTCGGTTACCTAAAACTAAGAAGGTCCTAAAACCAAATCCACATAATAACTGTAACAGGTTCCCGTGAGATGTGATAGGCAATATTATAAAATAATGTGCCTTAATTAATAATCTAACTTCAACAACATCATGCACACCATGCCTGCGTGATGGAGAAGACGGTAGCATCGGGAACTTGAAACAAATGTAAGTTCGTTATTATACTTATCATACCATTAGTAAACCGACAAATTCAAACGAAAATGGAAAGATGGAAGACCGTAGGCCATATTGGATCAGGGCACTGCATAAGCACCGAAATGACGTTAGGCAATTTCATTGAACGAATAACAAAAAAATGGGTATGTGTGTGCGTGTGATGCCCAGGCAAGTAACAAAAGTATCTTACCGAAGAAATGCACGGTACAACCGTGATTAATTTTAGGCTATTCGTTTTTGCCCGACCGCCGGGAAAGCAAATTACGCTCTCTTGTCTACGCGCTCGTGGCCTCATAGCCATCTAACTCCCACGCGTCCCTCTGACTTTACTGGCATGTAAATGGAATTTTTTCTTTTTATTAAAGCATTTTGTTCGGTCCGAACATCGCATCTTTGAATCTCTACATTCAATTTGAATATGTAACCAAAAAAACTGAATTTGACATATGTAACCAAATACCGAGAAAAAAAAAGTTAAAAACAGCCCTTCAGGTAACTTCACAGTTAAGCATGTCGTAGCTATCGAACTTCACATTCGGCGCACTATTATTTCTTAATATGGCTTACTAAATTTCACGTATAAATGACTTGTGAAAACCGTCCGTTCGTGTCGAATATCTTACTAGCGATAAATAGGATTACGTAAGTTCTAAACATATTTGCCCGCTCAATAAGTTCGTCTCCTCTCTCTAAATTGAACCCTTGTGAAGGCAAAAAATCTGTCATGGCATAGAGTAACAGCTATATGGCATGGCTATGTGAATATACGATAAAATCAAATGTCTAATAATAGTATTATATAATTGAATAAGACTCAATTCTCGTTTTCTATTCATGAAATTGCGCGAAAAGAATGTGGTTAAATTATCTCAATCTCAACGGGGCTTAGGAGACGCTCAGCTGAATTTTACAATAGTTTATAAACATGCTAAGAAGTTAAATGCTACTACATTTATGGAAGGAAAATACAACAATTGTATATTATAAAACTGTTTTAATAAATTAATTAACTAATCTATCCCCTATTCTTAATATATTTTCTTGTCATTAACAATTTTTTAATATAAAAACAAATCTTATGGGATGCACAATCAAATTAGTTCAAATGGCAGGAAATAACTGTGCACAGAGTGGATAGAGAGTAACAAAATTCTTATCTTGCTCTTAAGTTTATTAGCACTTACTGTATTATTAGGAACCTCTTACTAAAATCGAACCAAGTCTGCGATATAGTTACTCGTGGAAGTAATATGTTGTAGATTTTTAGCTCAATATATTCTCGCTTTTTTTTTTCTACGCATTCATGCATCAGGAACCTTCTATAACCGCATCAGGAATAACTATCAAGAATGATAATTGCTTTTTTCATAAGATAGTCAGCAACTGTAAGGACAATCATAGTGTTAAAATATTGTCAGCTCAGCTAAATAGTTCAGCATTTACATATTGATATATAATTAGATTGAATTACAGATCCATCATGATATGTATACAGTATAACTATGAGGAATCTAACCTCATAGTTATAACCAGCCTAAATGTTTTCCCACTTCTCGGTATAAAATCATCTTTCATCTAATTAAAACAGATATTAGTCTCAGGTAAATTTTTACGTAAAACATATCTATTTCTGTTGGTTATCAGTTTTATTAAAATTATCTTGTATTATACAAGCAATGTGTGATACAAGTTGCAGCCTAAACGTCTTCCATATATATAACTTCACTTCGTTGTCAGTCGGTTTGTACTATCTAACATAGAAACTTCACTATTCGACAGACATTCGACTTGAACAGTAACTGCAGTACTAGCACTCACTTTTGATCAATTACATTGGATACTGTACATGCAAATTTTTCTTAATCTATTTACTTCACTAATCCCAGTTTCTTGTTAATGGATGTGCAGCTATATACTTTTTGTCGTTGAAAATCTTCGCATTCATTTCGCGAAGGGTTCTCTGGCTCAATAGTGTTGAACAATATTGAATCTCATTTACGTTAAATCTCACACGATCAACAGCTTCTTTACTATAAATTTGAGATAACTTAATATCGTAATCCGAGTTCGGCAAGCCGATGCAATACGACCTTGAAGCTCGTGCAAGAACTGTCGCGAACGTGTAGACATCAATGGCGATGTCTGATAGTCGATCCAAAATAGTTTGATTTTCAAACAACTCGGCGCCCCACTGTTCGAGGGCGACTTCAGCAGCAAATCCTAATCTAGCCATGCAGTATTCGAGCTGCTGGCATTCCTTCTTTAGTGACGGATGAATAAACTGCTCGACTTCACAAGCTAGTTTGGGGGTGTCCTTTACATCTCGCCAACGAGCGAGTCGAAACTTTGTGAACTTCATAGGAGACATCAACGGATCACGGAGAATGTGAATCACCGTTGCAAAAAGACGTCCAGTATACTGAACACCACTCATAGAAATAAGAAGGCGACACAGATTTTGAGTTGATTCGAACGCATCAAACGTTCGTATGTCGTTGAGCCAGCGGACCAAATCACCATCTTCAAGTAACCCATTGACACCATGCAAGTCAATACTGCTTTCTAACACTCGACGGGACCCTTTCGTACCGAGGAGACGAACTGCAGCCGCTTCCAAAGAGTAGTCGGGATCCTGCACTACGTCAGCGATCGCTGAAGTCATGTAGACGGCACTCTCCATCGCGTACACATCACCTGTCATGGTAGCTACTCGTTTGCCAATCATTTCAAATTCGTGCAATGGCTTTTTATACCGATGAGTCCTAATGGCGTACTTTATAGCGAGGTTTAGTGCCTCGCGAGCAGTGCTCATGGTAGCGGCTGTCATCAGACACCGTACGTAATTCTGTACGGCCAACGCTACTTGGAAGCCTTCGCCTTTTTTGCCCAGTATACAGTCGGTCGATAGTTTTACATTATCGAACGTCACGGTCGCAATTCCGGCGCCATTGAGACCAAGCAATCGGGGAGATTTTTCGACTTTAACACCAGGCAGATCCCGTGCAACAAGCACAGCGGTAGTTGGCGTCTCGGCAAGCCGCTTGTCTTCAGTGCCAATCAGATCAATGTTGCAAAGAACAGTAAATATGTTTGCATCTTCACCGTTGGTCACGTAGGTTTTTGTACCGTTTAAAGTATAGTGACTCTCGTCCGGGGTTATTTTCAGCACTGTTTTAATGGCTGCGAGATCCGTGCCAGACTGGGATTCGTGCATAGCTAATGCAGCAATCCATTCACCACTTGCCAACTTTGGTAGGTAACTGGCCTTTTGCTGGTCAGTGCCAAACTCGAGGATCGGTTGAATACCTGCCGAGCTGTGGGAAATCATTTTAGCTGCTAATGATGGTTGTCTAGCAAATGCTTCGATGATTTTCGAGTACTCGGTTAAAGACAATCCTAGTCCTCCGTAGTCATTCGATACAGTGGCACCAAACACGCCAAATTCTTTCAGTTTGTAGATCACCTTCTTTGGTGTTTCGTATTTTAGCGCATGAGACTCTAAGCTGTCCACATATTCTTTAATCCTGTCGTAGAGATCGGCTATCCTATGGATCTCAGAGGGTTCAAGCACCTCGGGATAGGTGAGGAAGCGTTCATCGATAGCCTTCGCAAAAAGGTTTCTTAGAAACGGTGGCCGTGTTACTTTACCCTTAGATCTTTCCATTAAGGGCGATTCCCGGGCGAGTATATCGTCCATTCTCGTCTCAGGATGATATATATTGAACTTTTTCGGTGACAGTTTTGGTTTTTCCTGAACTTTTGTCGAGGCGCGCCGTACAAACCATCTCGGAGATCTTTTCCACATCAGCTGCAACATGGTTCAGTCCTATATACAGTTTCCAGCACCAAAACAAAAACTGCAGGACAATGCTGCAGTCACTGCCTCACGAAAAGACAATCTAACTACATAGACAACAACGGCAGAAAGCACGGTACTAAGTGTGTGTGGTCCCGAGTTAAATCAACACAATTCACACCAATAAAGCATATCGAACGTTCACTCGGAACAACTAGTTGCTAAAGAAACCGACTGATTCAGTGGATCAATGCAAAAACACGCAAGTCCAGCATGAATCGAACACGCGCGGAAGAAATATTGTGATTTCGTCTTTGTCGTCGTTAGACCGCCGACCAGGGAGAACTCAGAGCGCGCGGGCGGTGCGCATGCGCGATGTGGCGCCACTTTCAAACGACGCAGCCTATCACCCATGGCCAAATTAACAGTTAACTATACACAAAGTGCTACAAGACGAGCTCTGCCATCAGTAAATATTTTGCCAAAAGTCGCGTAAATGAGACTCTAGAAATCATAAAAAAACAGAACAACAGCGCTAATAATTCGGGTACTGTAGACCAGCAGTTGGGTCGCATGTAAATGACGGAGTGTACTCACATAATATCGATATATGTAGCAAAAATGTGTATTCTGTGACCTTGCATCTTCGTTCAGTGCACACGTATGTATCTATAATGTAGTAGTTGAATTGGAAATCAAGTATGGGGACCAAGCTGTATTAATATAAAGGAAGTAGGAGGTATTAATATAAAGCATTTTTGTTTTTATTTAGGATTCTAACTAATAATTGCTAAATGAAGATGTCTATTGTTAGGTCCTGTCTATATGTAAAGGAAATATATGCTAGATACATTTTCTTTTTCTTTACATCCATATCCGCCAGCAACAGGAATCTGTCTTGAATTATATTAAAACAAACACTATATATATATATGGGTGACTGGGTCGGGTGACTATACAGCTTGGGTGTTTCTTTACTCTTTTGCTTGCCGGTTTTTTGTTTATTACAGATATAATTATAATTATAACAATGAAAAACTGCAAAAAGGTTATAGCTCTGATACATTAATGATGCAAATTTACAGTTACGAAGACCCTCATTCTACGGGAAGAAGTTAATAATGAATACAGACAATATGTAAGAATATATATCGAATGTCAGAAATAGAAGAGTGGGTTTAAAGTGAATCCATACAAATTACATTTATCAGTATGTGGAAGTTAAATTGAAATCAAGAGATTTATTTGCTGAGGCACATACATTTGTCAGTCCCCTGTTCCTTTAATATAATATGTGCACATCGATATTAATGAATTAATTTTATGGCCTGCATATTTTTTAAAATCCACTAAAATATCCCACTAAGCAAATTTTAAAGGAGAGCCAGGCTAAATATTTTTCTTCTTTTGGTTGATGTTATTTTTTTAATGGTTCTTATTATTATTACTGATAATAATAAAAATTGAACTATTCACGGTAACTAAATTTTGGGAAAAATGAGATCAGTAATTAATAATAATCACAAATCAGTTTCAGTTAAATGTAAGCTAAAAAGAAAATGTAAATTTAAAATTGAAAAATGATTTATTTATTTTAAGTACGTAAGTAAGTAAGAAATAATAATTAATTATTTTTGCTTTGTATAAGCGAGAATCTGAATGCGTGTAATGAGAGTATGTCTGCTTTCATTATGATATATATATATACTTTTTTAATTCGAAAAATCAAGGTATCATCGTATATTACATTATTGAACGCACGCCAGTGTTGTTTAAGGATTTTTGTATTAATGCTTCCTTCCATAGCCTTATTGTACGGCATGTTCGAGCATCTATCGAAAGCGTTTACGCCGTTTATAACATCTCTTATGAAAACTTGTCTCGAAATTTCTCGCATACGTCACCACTTAGAACCTTTAAATCAGATTTGGCTGGATTTTAGTTTGCAATATAATTGTGTTCTCATCCATTATTTACATTACGACCGAATTTGCCGAGTGTGGACCGTCGCCAGCCGTTGGCTGTAGCTGTTAATATAACGCGAGTTCCGGACCCCCTCTGTGAGGAAAATCTCATGGGAACTCTTTGACATTCATTCAGTGATGAGTTTTATGTGTGTTGGCAAATAGTAAGCTAATTAATTTAGCGAAGCTGTTTCAGTACCAAGAGGCCAATCTACTGGCACGTTGAGGATGCTTTCTGCCAGATAGTATCTGGCCAAAAACGTGCTAATGGGCCATCCATGTTCAAGGGGTATTACCGCTTAAATAGGCGACTTGACCTATGTCCGAGTCTTTAGCCTACGTTGATTGCATCGACTGCAACGTGAGGCGAGTCCGATATTTTCACTCTTATTCTGAGACACAAAGCAGCGACATCTGAAAAGATCCGACTTAACCAATGTAAGCATTGTTAAAATCCTGTCTAGTAAGGGTGTATACAGGCGAACTTTGTTAAGTTTATAGGCCATTGGGGTCTGCTATCGGATTTATACCGACCTAGGGATTCTGGGCGTTTAGATAATAATATCGTAGGGGCAATGGAACCTGCTCTGAAGGCTAGAGCATCAACTAATGAGAGGCTTCAGCGGTCGTTAGTACACCTTATTAGTTGGCCACTGGTTCTGGCTCCATTGTTTCTTTGCCAGTCCTGCCTAGGCTGAGACACGTACAATCACATTACCAATTACTTCGGTGAACAAGAATGACTATGGATTGTTCACATATGTATATGTGTTAGCAGATTATAGTCACCTTAACTCAACGTATAATTTAGTGTTGAAACCGGAACACTTCCTCCAAATGAAGCTAGAACTTCAAACTTAGTCGTGAGTACTCTGAAGTCTTTTATAATATGAACGTTCGACTGAGAACCAACGCTTGGCCGACGTATAGTTTTTCGCGCTAGCAGCTCCCTACTTCGCAGTTACTGCGTGAGGCGTCCGAGCGATAGCATTGCTTTCCTGATTTCCTTTTAAGCATTGACCTTTTAGTTATGGGAATGATGCGATGATGGTTTGCAGGCACAATTTTCTTGAAATAAAAATAAACAGACTACAAATCCATAGGTGGTTCATAAAATTGGATTTAAGGAAACACTTAATTTTTCTGTGCATATCGCGTTACTTGCTACGTCAGTGGTTTGTGAGGAAGTCATGCTTCTGTCTATCTCAGAATTTCGCTAGTCAATTTCACACTGATGTTGTACCTAAAAAACACCGATACCAATAATGGTTCTACGGCGACGTGAGTGCCTGTAAGCTTCAGGCAAGTCACATATGAGCTTTGTTACATATCGGGAATAAAAAAGCAATAGTTCCGTCCGGTTATGGGCCATATGATCGTGTACCTGGTCTTTAGTGATTGCCACCTCTACGTCACCAGCAACTGTGCTGCGACATCGGACTCGATAAGGTCAATGACGAAGGCAACCGTATCGTCTAGCATAGATGATACGAAAATAAAGTTTTAATTTAGCACTATTTTAGGCTTGAATAGTGAAGGGTACTATTGAAATCTACGTAACGGCTTTCCAGAGTCTGCAAGTTGTTCTTTACAATGCTGCAGAAAAGAACTAAAAATCGTCTGAGGTGTAAGATTGATTATTTTTAAATGAGCACCTTGAAATCGGTGTTTGAGAACAATGCTCAACCATCGTAATTGTAAGAGTGTTGAGAAACAATAATGTTTACGTATGATCATGATATAGGTACGTTATTATGGACAGTTCTCTGCGATCCACTAAACAAAATGTCACAAATTGCTTTTTATCTACTGCTGCATACTATGCAATCGCTATTTCGAATTTTAATACGATTCAGCAACGGGCCACGAGTATCAATTGAGCGCGCATGATGTCACCACAGCCGATGGGTGGAATTTCAGTAAAAATGAACCAAAAATTACCTATTACTTAGAACTTTTATAAGGAACGCGGAATCAGTAGACAATCCAAATAAGTCCTAAGAATAAAGATATATAAATGTGCAAGTGATTGAAAAAAATAAACGAATCAATTTTTCAGTTCTTCTTTTCTAGTAAATTTCTATTTTAGCTAATCGCTTCATCCTAGTTAGTAAAACTAAGTACTCCTTATAAGCGTAGATATGCTGGACGTAGTAATCAGGAAAATTATTAATTACTGCCAATTTTTTAGATCAATAATTAGGATCTGAATAACTCTAAAATTGAAAGCAACATCATTTGAGCCATTAGAGGGTAGACACGCAGTTTCTAAATGAAGCCTGTATTGTAAATGCAATCACCCTTTATCGTAGCTCTCAGTGTTATCAAAACGGCCTACAGAGACAGTTACTACAGCCCACAACATCTTCGTGAGGACTGATTTTTGCCATGTTACGCTTTCGGCTATCCTACACAACGGCGCACTATTAATTAATCAGACTTCCGTGTGTTGTGTTGGGTTTGTACTTTTCGTACGACATTCTCTGCCGATCCTCATGGCTTGGTTTTTCCGTTACGCGTCAAATGTCTCGTCGTCGACGATTCTTGCCCGTTGTCCCTTCTTGCGCCCCGCCTCTATTGACCTAATTTAGAAAGCGTTTCCCCAGTGCTTTATGGCCCGCTGGCATTGCATTGTTTAGGTTTTGACTTCTGTCACACAAAGTATCTCCAAGCAGCAGCAGTAGCAACAGCGACGGCAGACGTGGTGGGAACATTTACGCTCTGCCTTACCATTACAAAGTTTTCTGGCATATTCGGAATTCTATTGCTTTCTCGTAATCTCGTTTTGCTCATACTAGATTCGTTGTAGCCATTTTTATCCAATCGGATACCGCAAGCTTTCGTTTCCTCTAGAGACCACTTCTAGTCAAGCACTTGTAGAAGCCAATTGTCTTTTACTTGTCCAAATACTTAATTCTTGTCACTTACCTTTGGTATGAGTCATAGAGCTCTTTGTCGAGTGAGTCTATCTTTGTTTTTTACAATGGTTTCGTTACGTTCGACTTTCACTACCTTCCGGATCGTTTTCGTCGCTGGCCTCCTCTGATAGGTAAACGGCACACCAAAGCAGTTCAACGCTATATATCGGCATGGTAAGCTGTTCTCCTAGATGTTCTCCTATTGTCTTTCTGCCTATCTCTGTCACGATATCTGCAAACGTTGCTCCATCGATATATTCCTTTTGAATTTTCTTGTGTTTGTTATGCTGAAATGTTTCTATCTCACTCTCTTCCGTTGTTACCTGGCTCGAATTAGGCATTAGAAATCTCTTGAAGCTTTGGATACTTCAGATTCTTCCGAAGCTCTTACTTC